ATCACTTAATATAAATTTGTGCATCACACGGGGGAAAGACTAGTAGGTTAAGAAGCATGGACAATATGTTAGGATCAAATGCTACAACTACCCTTCATTGTTAGTAGCAAAGAAATTTTTTAGCATATAAATAAAATTTGGATGTTGAAATGAAATTTTAATGATAATCGATGACGTGTTACACCTCACACGACCCCAAAAATCCTATGGGGCGAGCAAATTTGGGGGCTCTTACTCCACGTCAAAATGCCAAGAGGTAGTTGACCAAACCTGTGAAGAAGCTGAACCATTGTGTGGCTGAACACATTTGGCTATGCCGATCCCTTTGTAAAGGATTGAACCCTCGTCATGGGAGAGGCTGCAAAAGGGGGGGGGGGAGGGGTTAGAAAGAGATCTTTTATGCAATTTTTTTGTATGTAATTGATGTGATAACTCACTGTCACCGCTGCCCTAATCCATCAACTAAGTCAAGCAATGTCAAGTTTATGGCCAACAAAATGGTTTTAGCATTTAATATTTATAATTGATTAATGCCTTTGACAATATGCCTTAGTCGTGTGGCTGTACTCATGTATGCTTTTATCCTACTGCCAACCTTAATAGTTTTCTACTATAAAAATTTACACAATATGACATTCTGAAGGTAATACAAGTTTATGCCCTCAACTTACAACTTTGCTCTTTCAGTATTCTCGATATACACCCCAAAGCCAACCCCATTTTTACATTGCAGGCTCGTGTCTAAAGTCCTCCCACACTCGTACATTTATTTTCCTAACTGACTTGATCATTGAATGCGCTCAGCCAAGTCCACCACCATTACCACCAGAGGATGCCACGTGTAGCTAACAATTTGTCCAAGTGTGCATGAACCATGCTTGCGTGGATGTAAGAGGCCATGAGTCTATTGGTCACGTTGGAGGTATAAAATTTGAGGTCAACAGATTGGTGCCATCGGTCGGGAACCATACAATAACCACGAACTTCTTTGTTGTGGAAGCCATTGCAAGAGAAGAGTTCCAGAGGTTCAATCTTGAGGAAAGGCCCATGTTCTTGAAAAGAATGGTTGAAAATATTGAAAGAAGCCCCATTCGGAGCTCCATTTGATACGTTAGGCACCATTGCATCATGAGTTCTATCCACTACGGTTCACATGCTGAAACCAACAGGAAAAGGCTTCTGAAGAAAAAGTTCTCCAGACAAATGTCAATGTCCGTCAACCCCATCACCAATATGACGAAGCGTTAGCATTTGTCCAAAAATTAGGAAGGAGAATACACGAAAATGAAGATGCATCTTACCATTGGTAGCCATCAATAGGTAAGTTACGAAAAGATTTCGTTTGCCAACTATGTTCTTAAAATGCCTCTTCTCAACAGGCAGCTTGTAGATAGCCTTAATAATAGCCCATTCAGACAGCTCAAGTTTGAAGCGATTGACTGCAGCTGCACAAACAAAATAATGTAGTTCACCAAAATACAGCAATAAACATAGGCCCTTAGCAAACAAAAACTCACTATACGCATGATATTGAATCGACGCTGTTATTTTTGGGCACACATCACCCTCCACTTTCAGCCAACGACCATCACCTGAAACCAAGACGACTTATATTCTTTATTGAGGTCGGAGTACCGAAAATGAAGGGCCAATGTGTACCCCAAGGGCTCATACAATATCACTCCTTACAATCCCCCTCTCTTTCCTCACTAGAGGCCTAGGGCTGGAAAAGAATATGGAAAATGTGGGGAGGTATATCCTCACCAAGAGTGACCTCCTTCCAAAAAAAAAAGGTCCTTGCCAATTGGCTCCATGCGTGGGCACAAGTTGGGTGGGGGCTAAGTTATACTGCCTTAGTATATATCTAAAGAAAGGGTATAAAGGCAATTAATCCCAACACTCAAAATGGCATCGAAAACTGCTATACAGCCCTCCCTGGGGAAACAAACTCGTTCGTCAAGGGTCAGAGTGAACATTTCAATTATATCTGGGATCCTATACGACTCTCTAACGGTTACTAGCTCACTCTCTTCAATGCAGGTCTGCTACAAAGAGGCCCCCAACATAATACTATAGTTTGTTGGACCTTCCCGCATCATTAGGGATGACAATTCGAACTGTTAAAATAGTAAATCGCGGTTAACCGGACTGAATGAGGAGAAAAAACCGAATCGATTGTGCAATGGGGTGGTTATGATTTTGATTTTAACGACCCGGTTCGGGGTGGGACGGGTATGGTATTTAGCGACGGTGCCCCGCCCCGAACCGATTACCCGTTAAAAAAAATTTGTTATGACATGCTTACATCTATATTAATGTTTAAGCCATTGGTTCTAGATAGCATTATTCAAAATATAATTAGCTTGGCCAAAGTTGATTATAAAAAGTAATTGACTTGAATAGGGTTTTTAGTAGATGTAGAGTCAGGTCAAGAGGATTTTCATACTCAAGTTTATTTTCTGTAAGGCTTGACTTATTATGCTTTTTATGTGATGAATTGGACATGTCCACTAGTATAACAATGGGGCGGGTATGGTATTTAGAAAATTCGGCTTTTTCATCATACTCCGGAGCTTGTGCAAGTTCAGTGAGGAAAACATTGACGAAGATGTACATTTTTTTGTTT